AACTTAGAAACCTAGCTTACATCTCGCAGGTCAAAATTCAGTGTTCATTGCTGGAGCGGACTTGTTCACAGAAATATATCCGTAAACCAGAATGTTCAAATCAGGAACCCAGCTCACATCTCGCTGGTCAAAATTCAGTGTTCATTGCTGGAGCGGACTTGTTCACAGGAACATATCCGTAAACCAGAATGTTCAACTCAGAAATCCAGCTCACATCTCGCTGGTCAAAATTCAGTGTTCATTGCTGGAGCGAACTTGTTCACGGGAACATATCCGTAACCCAGAATGTTCAACTCTGAAATTTAGCAGACATCTCGCTGGTCAAAATGTTGTGTTCAATGCTGGAGCGGACTCGTTCACGGCAAAATATTTTGTAAACCAGAATGTTCATCTCAAAAACCCAACACACGGCTCGCTGGTCAAAATTTTGTGTTAATTGCTAGAGCAGACTTGTTCGCGAGAACATATCCGTAAACCAGAATGTTCATTTCAAAACCCAACAACTTAACCATTGGTCATTACGCAATAACGTGGTCATCCTCAGAGTAGGGGCGTTGACGCGGACTCACTTGAAAACCCAGGTAACTTATCACCAGCGACAATATAGTTGATCTTTGGAAACGAACCAATCAACGACAACCTGTCTCAAAACTAGGACAATCATCGTCTCAACTCAAATCGTTATCTCGAATAACGCAAGGCAAAAATGACGATAAGTCTGAAAAAAGGAAAAACAACTAAGGCACGGTCTCCTCAATGTCGTCGATGACCTGCTCAAAAGGAATCGCCGCCGCAAAAATTTGACAAGTCATCATCACTTGACGAATCAAGAGAACTCGAATCCGAGTCAGCCTCATATTCAACAACATCAACGTCCAATTCCTCAACTCAATCATCGGTCGTGCTGACTGGCAAATCCCTAAGGATCCCTTTAAGTTCTTGCACATGCTTAGCAAACATTTCATCTGCGGGTAATACTTTTAAACATTTCATCTGCGGGCAAATCCCTAAGGAACTCTTCACCAAGATCAGGCGTCTTGTTACTCTGAAGCAATTTTACGAATTCAATGTTACTCCGGACTTCAACAAGATCAATTATATCAATCCTCGGCTCGCTATTATCTACTCTGACCATCTCTCTAACGCGGTCGATCTTCATTTTGTACTTCGCCGCCAGCTCGCGCTTCGCTTCATCAACAGCCCGCCGCAGCACCGCATCCTGAAGCTTGGCGGCGACATCTAGGCTGTTGATTTACTTTAATTCTTCAAGTCGATGACTTTTCTCCGGTTTCGCCACGACTAAAACCACGTCGACGTCAAATCAGCAAGTTCAACTTGTTATCCTTCTTCGCGAAGACAACCTCGTTGATTTTTTCCTTATCAAAACGACTTCGTCACAACAATATCTCGTCGTCACCGTCGTATTTTCACCTTATCGCGTCGTCTATTCGTCGCGCCGTCGCGACACCTTCACTGACTTTGCTTCGTTGTCGCATCGATCAAGGTTTGTTTCGTCGTCGCATCGATCAAGCTTCACCTTGTTGTCGCATCACCTTCATAGATTTCACTTCGTCATCGCGTCGATCAAGCTTCACCTCATCGACATCAGCTAGCCGTGACATAATTACCTTGGTTCACCACAAACAAATTCACCTCTTCTTCTTGATTTTGTCGAAGTCAAAACCGTGATCATGCTAAGCCAACAACAACAAAATCTATCGAAACCGCTGCCAAAATGTACAAACCCTAGTCACCTCGCTCTCGACGTTCACCTCGCTGCTGCCGTCGGTAGTTACTCTGTCGTCACCTTTGTCAATCTCGCTTGGCCATCACCTTGGCTCGGTTCACGCATCGACTTCGCCAACATCTCCTCGGCTCGCGCATCGGCAAGATGCAACATCTCATCTGCTCACGAATCGGCTTCGCTATCATTTCTTCGCCTAGCCATCACGCCATTGCCTCGTCACGACTCTTCGCAGATGCTCTCGCCAACATCTCCGCGACTGCGAGTAAAGTATTGGAGGAGGACGCTCTCGTCGAACTACCAGTGTCAGACTCTGGAGAAAGAAGCATTCTTCTGTGTCCTTATCGCGCGGACTGTCAAGCTGCAAGTCCATGGAATCGGAAACCATTATGTTTAATTCGCCTCTCCGCTGCACCAGAGAGCAACGATCCGAGTTAGTTCTGCTCCGCAAAGCAAGCCTTGTTACCGAGTCGCTGCTCCG